TTTTAAGGATATCTAAGTTATGTATATCTAAAAACAGGAACCTCAAAATCTCAAAATTTACATTTGAAAACTCAAAACCAAACAGAATATATATACATATGGTAAAAGGGAATGACTCACTATAACAAAAGCCATGAAAAAAAAATTCTGAAATCAAACATTGTACGGACAATACTACCAGAACCAAAAAAAAAAAGAAGAAAAAACAACAACAACAACAACAACAACAACAACATGACTTTGTTTTTTGTTTTTTTTTTCTTTCTAAATCATGTTTGATTTAGAAAAAAAATTCATGACATTTTGTTACAATGAGTCATCCCCTTTTAAAAATATACATACATACATATATATACAAATTCTGTTTGATTTTGAATTTTTAAATATAATTTTTGAGATTTTGAGTTTCTTATTTTGCAATTTATTTTTATTTTTTTTGTGTTTAGCGAACTTTTTAAATATTGTATTAATTTTTTGTATATAGATTTATCCACATTTTTCTTTTAGGTCCATAAAGGTTCATCTGAAAAAAAAAAAAAAAAAAAAAAAAAAAAAAAAAAAAAAAACTCAAAAACCAAACATAGATTTTTGTAAAATATTTTCTTTTAATTTGATAAGGATTATAAACTTAAAGGGCAATGAAGGAAATGGCTTCAACTTAAAGGGGCATTGTGGGAACAAACTTAAGTGAAACTCGGTTCTAATTCGGGTAGTTCCAAATGCATCTAAAAAATTAGTCATTTGGTTTAGTTTTGAAAGATTTTGAAATTAATTTTGAGTTTTGAATTTTGAAAAGAGTTTTGAAAATTAAAAATTTATTTAGTTTTTGAAAATAATTTTTAAAAAATTAAATTCAAAACTTGTTTGGTTATGAGTTTTCAAAACTAATATTTGAGTTTTTTCGGATTGTGTTTTTTTTGTTTTATAGTCAAAATTTTTTTACAATAGTATAGTCAAATTTATTTACTTCTTTTATATACTTAATCTAAATTTATTTTTTAAATACATCTAATCTAATTTATAGGATAAAATTTCACTACGTATTTTTTATTTTTTATTTTTTATGATGTTTTAAAAATTTTAGGACAAATTACATAAAAAAAATCCTAAAATTTTGCATGTTTTCCAAATTAAATCTTAAATTTCTAATTACATCAATTTAAACTCTCAATTTCATCACAATTTACGCCCCTGTCAATATCGGTTTGTTAAACTAACGGATAACTCAATTGTGTTTCTTTCCCCACCTACCGTTTTCATTTCCTTCACCCACTCATTGGGTTTCAGAACTATGTCCAACATGGACGATCAAATTTCGCAACTGATCACCATATTCTCTCACTCCACCACCAGAAACAACAGTACCTCTCAATTACTCTCTCTCAGACTCATCTCAGCTACGGAGCTGTTTTTTTGCAAACGTGACTTCTAGAGCTTTCTCACCAAAATCTGTATTCAAAATGGTGACGTTGCTAGATTCTCAACTCTAATATCAACTTATCGATTTGGGGCCTAAACCCACCGCCGATTAATCTTAATCGTCTGGTCATCGATGTCTACTATATCGTGGACCGCCAAGACGAAGCTTAGCGTAAGCACCCAAGTTGAGGGTGTCGATATTGAAGAAGGTGGAGGATAAGTCAGAGTGGTGAGCGGTGGATGGCGAGATGTATGAGATCGGCGAGAATGTTCCTCTACGTCTTCGACGGTGCCAGCTACGAGATTATGGCACTGAAATAGATTGGAGAAGAAGCACATTACTGTGAGAGAGAGAGAGAGATGAGCGGTGGGTAAAATCGAAGAGGAGGAAGGAGTTGGGAACGATGAGGAGGGTGAGGAATGAGCGGTGTGTCACATCCTTACAAAATTCTCCAAAATATCTAGAAGGGAGCATGCAAGGGAGTGAGGTTAACGGAAGAATTTAGAACTCCCTAGAAACCCTAGTACATATGAAGACTATGGAGAATTCTAGAAGAACTTAGCAAATTCAAGAACCTATACACTTGTACATATAATTAGATATTTGTATAGATAGTTCTAGAAGGCATTCTAGAACATTCTTGTAGCTTGTAAAGAAGGCTTCCATGGGAAGCTTCTACGTGATGTCTTCTTGAGAATTCTAGAAATCTCCTAGGGAGCCTATAAATAGAAGAGGAGCTCATTTGCTCCAATCCATCCAAGAGTTGTAAGTTTTCTCTAAGTATATACAAGGCATTCTCTCAAACTCTCTTGTGTTCTTCTAACTTCTCTTTCCTATAAGTTTGTGAATTAGGCTGACTTAGTATCATCAAGTAAGACTTGAGATTGTCTAAGTGCCGCACGGATAGCTTGAAAACAACCAAGGCCATGACACGTGGTATCAGAGTGAGGCTCGAGACAAAGGAAGAGGAGGTAACAATGTCATCCGGTATAGAGAAGACTGTGACTGAGCAAGCCCGTGGAAGGGAACCCACAAAGGGAAAGAAGGATAAGTCACAAGATGTTATGACTGCCATGGAAACATGGCTTGCCAAGGTGGAGCTTGTTGTGGGTGACTCAGGAGAGCGTCTTGATGTGTTAGAACAAAGCCTTGAACAGAAGGTGGAGGGTCTCAAGGGGGAGATCAAGGAACTCCATGATGACATGCTTTCTACCATCAATTCGGTGGCACATGATGCACAAGTGGCCAATGATTCCTTCCAAGCCAAGGTGTTGGAGATGCTCGCACAGTTTGAAGCCCGCTTGGAGGAGATGCACCAAGATGTGGCAATCTGCAAGAAGGCCATAGACGGGGGAGCTGTGACCTTACAGGGGACGTCCAATGTGGAGGTTCCAAAACCAAAACCTTTTGACGGGAAGAAAGATGCCAAGGAAGTAGACAACTATTTGTGGTACATGGAGAGGTATTTCGAAGCGATGGCGGTAAATGAAGAAGATGCCAAGGTACAAACTGTAATCCTTTACCTCACCGACATAGCAACACTATGGTGGCGTAGGAGGCATGCTGACATTGAGAAAGGTACATGCACCATAGCTACTTGGGATGATTTTAATAAAGAACTTAAGAAACAATTCTATCCTGAAGATGTGGCCTATCAACCCAGAAAGAGCTTGAAGAAACATAAGCACACATCGTCTATTCAGGACTATGTAAAAGAATTCTCCACTTTTATGCTTGAAGTCCCGAGTATGACTGATGAAGAACTACTCTTCAACTTCTTGGACAACTTACAACCATAGGCAGAGCAAGAGCTACGTTGCCGCGGAGTGTAGGATCTTGCCTCGGCTATGGCTGTAGCAGAGTCTTTCATTGAGTATAAAAAGGTAGACAATAGGGCCAAGACATCCAAGGATAGCCATAATAAAGGTGGGGGAGACAAGGACAAGGGGTTCCAACGTAAAGAGGGGCATGACAGGCCCCCTACTGGCAAAGAGGGAAAAGACAAAGCGAAGTACCAATTCAAGGACAAAGGCAAGTTCAAGCCCAAGACTAACTGTTTCTTATGCGATGGACCACATTGGGTAAGAGATTGTCCCATGAGACAAGCCCTCAATGCCATGATTGAAGAAAGGGAAAAGAAGGAGACTCCCTACATTGGATCTCTACAACTTCTCAATGCCATCAAGTTGAAACCAGCTACATCGACCCAAGGGGATAAGGGTCTAATATATGTAGAAGTGTGCCTCAATGGGAAGCCCACTCATGCTATGGTGGATACTGGAGCTACACATAACTTTGTCTCTGTGGATGAGGCAAAAAGGCTGGAACTCAAAGCCACCAAGAAATCGGGTTGGCTTAAAGCTGTCAATTCGGCGGCTAGGCCCCTACATAGATTGGCACGCGGAGTGGACATAAGCATTGGAGCATGGAGTGGCAAGATTGATCTTACAGTATGTGACGCCCCGAAAATCGGGAACATCGGATAATATATTAACAAATAAATACAGGGTTTATCTAAGGTTACAAGAGTATGAAGCATCACTAATGAGTCCTTTGGCTAATAACCAAGTAAGATCCCAGGAAGGTCGAAGGAGTCAAAAATAGCCTCCCTTCAAAGTCCAACCACCTTAGATAGAAAAGCTACCTTTTTGACAGATCTTGACAAGGTATTAACACAAGGCCTACATGAGTTGACGGAGTATAAGGATAGGTTACAAATGTTATATATATACAAATTACAAAAAATCACGTCTTAAATACAACATGAGATCTATCACTTACAATCTCAAAACACGTTTACAAACTAGTTTCTAATCCTCCTAGGGTAGCCGTACGTTCTCAAATGCTTTCAGCTTTGCCTTCGACCGGTCTAATAGTCTTCAATACCTGGCATGAAACGTCGTGAGCTTTAAATGCCCAATAAACGCACACACACCCCGTCTTTTTTTCCCATTCCATCACACCATCATTTTTATAGCGAGCAATGATGAAGCATGATGTTCAAGTCAATAATAGCAATTTCGATAACTGAGGAAAGGAACATGTCATTCAAATAGATAACAAAGGTTACGATGTTAGTGGTTAGTATTCTAGAAATCCCCCAAAGAGATTTCATCCTCCCAACCACAAGAATTGGACATTAGACTATTCGGAACTCCCTCTTTTGCTGCTTTGTTGCAGAACTAACCTCGGATGCCTACCAACGGTTATATACCACGTAGCGCCAATCGTAGGGCCTCAAAAGGGACAGCGAAAAGAAAAAGGTTTTATCACCCAGAATCCAACCTTATCCTTCCAAAAAAGTTTTATCTTCCTGAATGTCCCACCCGGATCCAACCTTATCTCACCAATCAAACCATCGCAAAGAGTCCAAATACATCCGTTCCATTCTAAGGTTTACGCGATAACCGCTTGCGCAAGACTTAAACTTCCAAATAGGGAATGCATCCCAACAATCCATACATCGCATATTATCATCTTTTCATTACTCAAGTGATCGAAAACCCACACTACTAGAAAATTGATTTTTTGCGTCTATTTTTTTGCGACCGTCTATTTAACCGTAGCAAAAAATATACTATTTTCTAATCTCGTTTATGTATGTGCTTTATTTCACTTATTTTCTTTTATTTATATTTGCCCTAGTCAGCCTTGCTCAAACTCTCGACATCGCTCTCTTTCTCTCGCTCGCCCAAACACCGGTATGAATCACTCTTCCTCTCTCGATCTCTCAATATCTCTTGATCTCTCAATTCCTCTCTCTCTCTCGATCTCTATCGACTCTCTCTCTCTGTATATATATTTGCTAGGGTTTAGATCGATACATTCATCTGGCCTTCGCGATTTCTATTCTTCAATTTATGTTCTTTGCGATTTCTTCTTATGATCGATGCCTTCAATATCATTTGGAATTCTGTTCTTCGCGATTTCTTCAAAGGTACGTGATTTCTGTTTTTCACTATTTCATTTCATGTAGTTTCAATTTCCAGCAAATAATCGCTTTGTTCGCACGCTCTTCTTCTCTTCGATCATTGTATTTCCTCTTTCTATCTACTTCTTATATTTCAATTGTTGTTCATTGAGGCCATAATTATATTTCAATTCTTGACAATTTGTGATTTCTGAGCATCAATACTTTTTTCAACATATGCAAAAATTGCTACATATATAGATCAATGGTGATATATATAGAATTGTGGACCTTTGATTAATTTCATTGATATACCTATAGTTGTTGCTGTGGATTGCAATTGAATTCCTTTAGATTGTGTTTTATTGAGAGATTCTCTGAGAGCAGTGGATTTGGGCCAAGGTTTTCCCCTTCTCTCTTTCATTCTTCTTCTGATTCGGGTATAATTTGCAAAGAATCAATATAATTTTCATTCTGCTAAACTTTCTGATTTCAATACAGTATACAACATGAATGTATGTTTTGATTTCATTAAATTCTATTACAGGGTAATGATTACAGGGTAATGATTATTCCACATGAGAAATGCATGGCAAATGGAAGTATGGTTCACCATTACAGGGTAATGATTATTCCACATGAGAAATGCATGGCAAATGGAAGTATGGTTCACCATTACAGGGTAATGATTATTCCACATGAGAAATGCATGGCAAATGGAAGTATGGTTCACCATTACAGGGTAATGATTATTCCACATGAGAAATGCATGGCAAATGGAAGTATGGTTCACCATTACAGGGTAATGATTATTCCACATGAGAAATGCATGGCAAATGGAAGTATGGTTCACCATTACAGGGTAATGATTATTCCACATGAGAAATGCATGGCAAATGGAAGTATGGTTCACCATTACAGGGTAATGATTATTCCACATGAGAAATGCATGGCAAATGGAAGTATGGTTCACCATTACAGGGTAATGATTATTCCACATGAGAGTCTAAGGAATGACAATTCCAATGCATGTTTGTTTCACTAGAATGGAATGATCATCCCATTAAAATATTCATTTCTGGTTTACCAAAAAATAATGAATAACAAATTGCAAATAGAATTATCATTCACCATTACAATTGTAATGATCATTCCATATGAGAGTCTGAGGAATGACCATTCCATCTCATTCTAGTGAACCAAATAGAGCATTACTTCTTTACCTGCGAGCTCTTGATGATTTTTTGAGATGTATTAACATTATTAGTAGTAGTGTTAGTAGTAGTAGTAGTGGTAGTATGCTATTAGAATTAAGGTTTGTCCCAACGACGTTATTGTTTGTTGCATAGGTCAAATTTGGAATTGTGATATGTAGGACGTGTGTTAGCAAAAACTAGTTCACATGCATTTTTGTATGCAAATTTTCGTTGAAATGCTCGCGAAACATAATTTTAAATGTGTCCTTCAACATGCATTGTATAATGCATTGCACTCGAAGTTGATAATAAGTTTCATATGCTCACTACAGATTTGTGGAGCTCTTGTTGCAACTTTCTTTGCATGCTTTGCGGGAGGTTCATAGACGAACATTTCCAGTTGATGTAGCTTCTAACCCACTGCTGACTTCATTGGCAGATGTATCTTTTTCGCATGCAGCTACACTATTTCCTGTAACAAAGGTAATTCTGATTATTAAATCCTTTTACAAATGTAACAATTAAAGGACATGTATTTTATCGGATAACTTTTCTGATATGGTCAACTTCAATGATATTGTAAATAAAAAAAAATTGCAACTCATGTGATTGACATGGATAAGAGACTAAGAAGCATGGATACGGACACGTTTCACATACACAACGCGATATTTCTCTATTGGCCAAACTTTATCTAAGTCAATATTGATTTTGCTTGCTGTATGCAAAATATATGGAAGTTTCAGTCTCAATTTTATTTTGTGTGTCAATATTGATTTTGCTTGCTGTATGCATGTTGGGCTATTAGTATCAAGCATGTGGAGTAAATGTGTCACGGATTAGTTTAATCTAGACGGTTTTCTTGTGCTGCTGGGAAAAAAAAGTGATTCAACTTCAAGATTTGGTGTACTTTGCAACCCTTTATATAGAGCATTTGATGCTTTCCCTCAAAAGTTTGCATGTTATTTTAACATTAAAAGATTTCAGAAGAAACTTACTATATGCTGTTTTTTCTTTTGTTGTTGTCGATTCATAGGGACATATGTCCATATCTTCTTTTCAGCATGTGGTGAAAATTGGCTTGACTTGACTTTCAGTTCTTTTGACTTGAGGCTTCCACGACTTTACAGGGTAGAATAGCACTTGAACAAAGGAGGTTTCTGAAAAATGCTGAGACAGCAGTACAAAGACAGGCTAAGTGGTCAAATTTGGCTCATGAAAAGACAGCAAAGTTTTGTGGTCTCTGTGCTGAAGAGGTAGACGGAAATCCACCATATTATTTTTTGGGGCCCATGCTTACTTAGATGTCTTATTTTTTTATAGGGCTTTAGTTTTTCTGACACTTTGCTCCGGAAATCCTAGAACTCAGGATTGTTTGCAGCAAGAACTGGAAAAACTATATGATTTGAGGAATAAAGTGAAATTAGATGGGGAACTGTGGGATGAACTTGTATCTAGCTCCAGTCAGAATTCTCATTTAGTTCAAAGAGCAACTTGTATATGGGATTCTTTATTAGCTTGAAAGAGTAAGTGCAAACATCTTATTGATTGCTTTTTCTTTTCTGTACTCCCTTTGAAGTTTCTTGCATGTATATTTCTTGGAATATGCATGCAGCTTGGCTAGAAATCACTGTTTCAGACCACGGGATATTCTCTTGTGTGCTTTAATTAGTGCTATGTTCATCATTACAGTTGAGTACATTGTGCACTATCATAAATTAATGGCATAATGTACTATGGTAATTGATCTAACACTTCTGAATTGAAAGTGGTGCTTAATTTTAGGGATGGAGGGTTGAGTTTGTGTGAGTAAAAAGTTAAGGCTATGTGTGAGTGTTGTGAGATGAGGGTTGAGTGGCTTCAGGCCCCAAATTGCTTATCTTTATATTTCCTTGCAGGTAACATAGCTGGTACGAAATGTAAGGAAATTTTTTGTTGTAGGATGAGTGGTGTGAGCTCTAAATTTTTTGAGATTGATATTTTCTATTTAATGTTTTAGCCTACTGTATCTCATTCACCTGTCATTCAATTATGAGTGAGATGTGTTGGTCACCATTATAGTCATCACTATAATCTGTTGTTTTCTAATTAACCTCATATGCTCTACTCATGGAGGCAGGTGACTTTTGTGTTATACTTGAAAACGAATTGAAAATCATTAAATTCTTTGTACCCTTTTCTTGACTTCAAATGTAATTGGAATGCTTGTGTATGTTACGAAATGATATCCTAGTTAATGGACCTAGTTTGGCTCAGTGTCAACCCAAGAAGACCAGTTCATTTCACTATCCATGTCCACATCCCACAACTCCTCTTTATTTCTTTGCTTGCCATAAAACTGCTCGGTGAGATTAGTTTTCGTAGCATCTGGTAGTTTAACAGTTCATAATGCCTTCATAATATTCAAGCCATAATTATGGAAATCAAGATCTGTGACTGCATTCTTTATACAGCTAAACTTTCCTGTTGATCTTCTTTTCATTATTGTGGCAGCTGTTGAATTTTTATGGAATGTACCTGAAGGAAAGTATGATGCAATTATTGTTGATTCATCAGACCCTGTTGGTATGTTTGTAATTCAAACTTTCTACGTGTTTTCCTTTTTGCCTATTTATTTGCCTTTGTTACAGTGCTTTTCAGAATGTTACTTAACAAATGCTTCATGATCTCAAACTATGCAAAGAAAAAAAAAATTTGATTGACAATTGTCTTAGTTTTTCTTTTATATTTCTAGTCCTTGAAATTTAGGACCATATGTATTCACAATATGGAAGGTTATCTAAATTTTCTCTTGATTTTTCTGCTATTTGGAATATAGGCACATGATTATGCATGAGTAGATGTTATATATTTCCGAACGCCATGACTTTAGGGTCCAATTTAACCTTGGGAGACACAAGAGCTGTAGCTGAAGCTCTTGCCAGGTCAAAACAGGGTTAGCATACTTCACTTTTTCTTGTGCAATTCAGTTTGATATAGTGCTTTGTCTTCCTCCCAACTCTTTCTTTTTTTATTCTTTCTGTTTGAACACTAAATCGTTGAGTTTCTATGCAGTTGAGTTAGCTAATGAAGCATCTGATGGGAATGCAAACCATGAACGCTTAGGTAGGATTTCTCAGTTAGCTAAGATTGAGAATCTTCAGCCAAGTTTGATATATGGGAATGCAAATCGTTGAGTTTCTTTTTTTTATTATTTCAAGCTAAACTAACACATTGAAGTGCATTAAATTTTCAAGTCAAGTTTGATATATGTTTTTACAGATTTTGTTGAGGGAATAGTTGATATGATCGAGCGGTTGATGTTGGGAGCCAAAGATTATGTTTTTTCTTTTTTTTTTCTTTTTTTTTTTAACAAAGATTATGTCGCTCTGTTTTTGTTTTTGTTTTTGTTTTGTTTTTTTTTTTTGAAGACTTGAATTTTTTAGTACAGTTTATTTAAGGATGGTTAATGGATAATGTTTGTTATAAATTTAATTAATTTGTTAATTTTGTTATTTTTCATTTACAAAAAATTGTTTGGTGCTTGTAATTGATTTTTTTGTTGTAGCAAACTTATATATGAATTTTTTTAATAAATAATTATTTGCGACGGTAAAACAATGGTCGCTAGAAGTGTTTTTTATTTTTTTATTTTTTTTTGCGATGGCAAAATAGCTGTCGCAAAAAGTAGTTTAGGCAGTCGCAAATAATTTGCGACCGTTGTTTTGCTGTCGCAAAAAGTATTTGCCACCCCCACATTTGCGTCCCCCATATGCGGTCGCATAGGCCGTCGCAAAAAGTCTTTTGCGACTGTATTTTTATTATTTGCTACGGCATGTGGCGGTCGCAAAAAGTATTTTTTTTAGTAGTGCCAATACCATCCCAATTAAGTTTTCCGTTGAGTTAAATGTTTTAAACCAAGGTTAGACCAACTTAACAAGATAATAATATCCACATAAGCATGCATCATTAAGATGGAGGTAAAGAACATAACCATAACACGTACACTGTCATGCCAAGATATGATATAAGCTAATAAGCATTTTCATGAACACAAGAGCATAAAATACCCATGCATAACAAAATTTCCAGATTTGATATCACATGAGGATTAGAATGAAAAGGACCATTTTAGATTTTTCACCGGACTCAGCCTTCCTATGGTTCGTAGATAATTTAATCTAGTTTCCAGAACATATTTCGGAAATGGGATAGCTTTTCTAGATTTTATGTTATTTAGAAAACACTCCAGCGCTGTCCAGATTCGTTGACCGTTACGAAAATTTGATTTTCTTACAAACCGCTCACTATTTTTCAATGAAACCAATTTTAGTTGAAATTTAACTCCTTAAGGAATATTTTGACATAAAATAGAAGTCCAGAATAATTTTCTACATTTTTCTAGAAATTTTGAAAGTTGGTTGTGAAAATAGATTCTTAAGGCACAATACCCAAAACAAGAAGATTTGTGAGAAAAGAGGTCCACTAAGGGAAAATTTTAATTTCTTTTGTGATGAAAACATGCTAAATAACATATATTAAACTCAAAAAATTTTCTTGAAGGTGTGCCTTTGGAAAGTTTGAGAGATTGGTATGAAAAAGATAGTTTTGTACTGAAATGAGGGAAACTACAAAAGAGGTAGAATCAGGCTCAGCTCTTATCATTTTTAACACAAGAAAATCATTAATAACACATCTGAAAACAATGTTTAGAGCCCTTAAGAGCATGTATTTGAAAAAGGAAAATGAAAGAGAGAGTTGTGTTGTGGCTTACTTTCTAAGCTTGAACAAGAGTGCTCTCCTCTTCCTTCCTCTCCCTCTCAAGACTTCTCTCTTGCTCTCCTTTCTCTCCTCTAGGCCGAATGTGTGTGTGAGTGTGTTGTTTGTGTTTGCCAAGCTAGGGAGTGGTGGTATTTATAGGCAAATTTTCTTGTAAAAAGACATAAAAGCCCACTAGTTGGAATTGGATGGAAAAGTTAGGATTTACTTGGAGTCTAACGGAATAAGAGTGATTAGGGAGCTTAATCATGGGATTAGACAATATCTAGTTAGTCCCTCGTTGAAATAAAACTAGTATTGGAAACAAAACCCTAGGTCTAGGGGTACTAGGTGTTAGGGTTTCTAGAATACCATGATTACAATTCTTCGAAATAGGCTCCTCACATCTTCCTAGGGTGGCCGGCCACTGGGAAGGGTGATGGGGCTATTTTTTTATTCAATTTAGGTACTAGGGACACATCTCCCAATGTATATATATATATATATAGATCTCAATTTGATTGATGGTACCTATAATATAAAAGTACATATACTAGTTTTGGGGTAATTCTTGAATTTAAATAAAGAGTGAGGGCTTGGAATTAAAATCATGTATTGGAACCTTATTTATGTTGAATTAAATTAGACTAAGGAACCTAATTCGGCTAGGATATCCCTGTTTCGATAAAAAAAAAAAAATGCTAACCGGCAAGATTCGAAATATTTCAAGAAA